CGGCTTATTGAATGCGATGTGGCCTATACAATGACTTGCGGTGGCCAGCCGATGTACAAGTCAGTGTTTTATCCTCCCAGACGAATCTGGTACCAATTTACCGTCCCCGGGGGGTGGAAGGCTTAGTTGGCAGGGTGTCGATCGGGGATTTGGGACCTGGATCGCCCCAACTCGCTCAACTCACTCAGAAGTAGAAGTACCAAAAGAGACACGTCATTCAGGTCACAGATAGAAGCTTAATGTTGCACGGTGCGCACGCTAGGGCGTATGGAGCCGGAGGGCTAGATTTGGCTACCCTTCCTTAAAGCGGGCAGGAGGTCACAACTGGTAGCAAAAAAGCTGAGCGCGCGCAGCGCTGTCAGACCCCTCCCCCCCTGAAACGCCCCAGCATCCACAGCAAACAAGACATTCCCCCTGACAGTGAGAGGTGTTATTCTGTGAAAAATGGTGACTGAACGCAGAAACTTTGAACCTTTCTTTTTCTTTCGAAACTTTGAACCGTGCCAGCCACATTGTGCAACATCACGGGACTGCCTGTTACCGATTTGTTTGTCGTTGATGTGCGAAAAGCAGTCACAGTTTTCAAGAAGTCCAGTCTTCTGACCTTTTACGACACCTAATCTTATGATTTCTGGCCATAAATCAGGGCACATCATCGTTCGGGAAATCCCCATAGGGTGACGCAATGGGTTTCACTCAATAAAATCTTCCCCATCACCTATCCCGGTGGAACGAATGCGAAACGGTAGACTTTACGATTTATGGAGAACAAAAGTGCATCCTCTTACATAGATTTCCAAGGATTGAATGTTTTTGGTCACATGGTAGTATAAGAGAGATCCATATTTACAAGCTTAATCGGGCTTATGCCTTCAATTTTTAGTCAAGCATAGTTTGCGGTAGCTTTTGATCGTGAACCATCGATGTGCCATATGTTTGGAAAACAAATGGCCCATATTGGTTAGACGTTGACACAAGTCTATGAACTTTTATTTCTCTCCAAATCGGCATCCTTTATGGAAACTTCCATGGCAGCATCTCCAGTTACCTGAGGTTCTACCTGGGAAGTTCTAGTCCGAAGGGGAGGTCAGTTTGAGCGTGGAAAAGTCACAGTTACTTCTCACCGTTT